TCCTGCTTGGGGCAGGGGGGCCCCCTAGGGCCCCCCCCCCCGGTGCGGTCCAGGTGGCAAAGCCCTCGGAAACTCTGACGTCTATCGCCTTTTATAAGTCGTATGTAATTTATTTTAAGGAATGCAATTTAATTTTATTTCCACACATTTTCAAAATACAGTGGCGGATGCAGTGGCGTAGCCAAATTGGTGAGGGGGCACAGGGGGCAAGGCCCCAGATTTCGGCCGGGCCCCCAGATTTCGGTATATACCAGTGGTTCTCAACTATATCGCAGTAGGGGCCAAAATTGTTCATGGAATACATTTGAATGCCCAGGAAAAGAGTAGCGCAATCTGAGCGCCGCTGACGCGAGCCGATGGAGGGTTTGGGAGGTGGTGGCCCCCTTCACGAATTAGAAATTGTTTGAAAATAGTAAGCCACTAGACGCTCATACAGGATATCTTGGCCTAAGAAAGTTACCCTTGTGTTTGGTAATGCAAAATTCAAAATGTTATAGGCCTATATCTCGGTAATATTTCTTTGCTGTTTGCTGCGATAGTTTTCGATAGTTTTTCTAATTTGATTGATTAAATCGCTACAATTTGTGGGCAATACATAGACCCCCTAGTCGGCAAAACAGAATAAAATCTAGGTGCAAGCCTAACGGAATATTTTTGGCTTGTTCTCGAGGACCGGAGATGACCGCTGGCCGCCAGTTGAGAACCCTTCTTTGCATGTACAGTACTTTGAAAATCCAATGATGTCCGGTGGTTCATGAGACTCATTTCGCAGAAAAAAAAAAATTCTGTATATTTACTCAAATTTTCATTTTGTGTACCTTAATCCAGCATTGTCAAAATTACAGTTTAATGTTATATAAGAACATGAATATTTAAAAGTTGTAAATTTTCATTTGCTATAACTTTTCGTTTTGTTGGTCAATTTTCACGAATCAAATTGTAGTTTTTAGAATGCAAAAATTATTAAGGTTAGAAATAGTCTCTTTTTACGGTACATTTAAAATTGATCAAGAGAGGTTTTTATCCTTTTCTCCTCTTTATGAATTTCACTTTTGTGCAAGTAGTATTGCGACTACACTATTGTGAGTGGAAATACTGCCGTCTAACTTACGATCAAATAGGACTAAAGAGATTGGATACACACAAAACATCAGTTAGCATTTTTATTTCACAAACATAAAAGGTGATTGACTTAACTAAAGTTGAAATAGACAGACCTATCCATGTCAAAGCTGTATAAAATAATTGTTTGATAACCGTTTCACCCATAAAATCGATGGAGTGGTTACGAAATGTACAAATAATTGCGTTTTTACTTAATATTGGTCTGGAAATTACGCACCTCACTTGGAACAGAGCACAAGTGGAGACAAAATTCATAACAGGCATTCGTAATTGTTGTTCTTTCCACTCGCTTTGAAAAGTGGGGTTTTAGTTATAGAAGACTGGTGAAAAGTGGGGGGGGGGACAATTGATATGATGTTCCCCCTACTTTGAAAAAAAAAATTTAGTCTAGGAGAGCCATTTCCGGCCATCTAGAGGTGTCATATAATCATAAATGTTCTTACCTGTGGGGCTGAGATACTGTAGTATAGACCCACCTGTGAAAGTCCCTCTTCGTGCCGCCCATTCTATTTTAAATTCTTTTATCCCCACTGTATTTGTAGGTATAGGCCTATAGATTTACGGTATATTCAAAGATCATCAAAAGTCCTTTATAAGAAGGGATTGTTCAGAAATATCGTTTATTTATATCCTCCTTTTGAATAGGCACTATAGGCCTATATCATACTGTTTGTTAGGCTAGTTGTAGAGATAAGTAGTTCAGAAACGGACCCAGGATTTGAAAGAGGGTAGTTCAAAATATTTCTAAAAAAAAAAAAAAAAAAAAAAGAAAGGAGTGTCCTCCCCCGGGAAAATCTCGATTCCTAGATGGCCGGAAATAAGCTTTCTCGACTTCTGAGATTTTTAATTACCTTTTTTATGTTCTTCAAAATTCTAGGTTTCTCTCTCTTGAAAAATGTCAGGTAACTTTATCTCTTTCTATAGAGTTGGATACGTAGTCTTCCATGGATCGATGAACCATAGGCATGAAGAACGCACTTACATACAGTTTTCCGTTGTCGAACCAAAGTGTTTTTAATTATTTTATTAATGTTGAAGGCTAGTTGTGCTAAGCCTAGTTTGTCCGATCTGGCAACCTATGCCTAGAGGTAGGTTAGCATGCCTTTTGTAAGGCAGGACCCAGTAGTATTTGGTTAAGGTGTATTAGGGTGTTCGTCCGAACCCCCTGGATCCGCCACTAAAGTTACACCTTTCAACATCAAAACGATAAATGTTGTTCTTAATTCCTTTATTCTTTTGTAGAGTTCAATGTTTAAGCATATGTTTTTAAGTTACACCATTCATACAGACCGAGTAAGGCTCTTTCTACCAACTGCTTTATCATCAGTATAATTATAGAATATGTGTATACCTACTTTAAAGACTGAAGACAGTGTATTAGAAAAGTTCCGCAACCAAAACGATAACGAATACAAATACAGTACGTCATTTTCATTATCAACATTCGTGCATAAAACATTTTTGACAAATACATACAGTATAGGCCTATCAGTTTAGTTGTTGAATCGTGTAAAAGAGATGGATGGCCTACATGTGACAGACATCCTAATGCAGGGTTAACTAAACATTTGATTATGTAACCATATTATCGTTTTCTTAAGCTTGCAAAACCACCCTATTAATAAAAATCAAGACGATTGTATTAACTCTGAAAACAGAAATGTTTCAAAAAGCATTTCTCGTCATCAGTGTGACAAAGTGTTTACATTTACCATTCATACAGACCGAGTAAGGCTCTTTTTACCTACTGCTTTATCATCAGTATAATTATAGAATATGTGTATGCCTACTTTAGTGTTTCATGGAAATCAAATGTATTATTTTTATATTTTTACCAGACTGAATAAAATAAATTATTTACATTTCACTGGATCCATAATTATAATTGTTATATAGTTTATTAATTTCGTATTTTATACAATTTTTGTTTGATCCAATAAACTTGAATAGGCCTAAGTTCGCTTTAAGTTACCTTTTATAGCTGAGAAACGCAAAACAACGTTAGCGAAATATGTAAACAGCTGCTTTGCACAGTACTGTATACCTTTCATCAGCAAACACCTAAACATGCAAGCTTTAGAAAATTCGATATAATGTTGTCGTCATGACAGTGGTCGTCAACATGCCGTTGAATCTTGAAACATTAATTAAATACGGAAATGTTGCCTATTACACATATGAATGCTTTCTATGTATAAAATATAACAACTGTAAACACTTTGTCACACTGATGACGAGAAATGCTTCTTGAAACATTTAATACAATCGTCTTGATTTTTATTAATAGGGAGGTTTTGCAAGCTTAAGAAAACATAATATGGTTACATAATCAAATATTTAGTTAACCCTGCAGCAGCATGTCTGTCACATGTAGGTCATCCATCTCTTTTACACGATTCAACAACTATATTAAACTGATAGGCCTACACTGTATGTATTTGTCAAAAATGTTTTAGGCACGAATGTTGATAATGAAAATGACGACTTTTCTAATACACCGTCTTCAGTCTTTATAGAAGTTCTGATAGTATTGTTTATGATTTGGCTGGTAAATATTGTATTCTTGTAACAATGGGCGTATTCGACTGGTTCATTTCGTTGACTACGAATTTTCGTTGAGTACTATTTTTATTCGACTGGTTCTGAAAATAGACTTCATTGACAACGAAAATTAACGTAACCAGAGTGCGTTAAGTTATCCACGTGACCAAAACAAACATGGCCGATTGGTCAGTTTAGAAACAACATTTGCGTTAATATAATTTAGATTAAATTTCAGAAAATAAAAATTATAGAAAATAAAAATTATAATATAATATTAAAAAATAATAGTAGCCTAACAGGATTCAAAAACTGGATGTAAACATTTCTTTTACAAAAAATCTATGCTGCCACAAGCCGAAGCAATTATGCAGCGTGTACCGCGGTAACTATGCAGCCATTTTGTTTTGTCAAGTATTTACAAGTTTTCTATTCGACTGGTCGTCTTCGTTAAGTAGTAATTTACCACTGCTCAGGTGGCCGTGGTTTAAAAAAGAACGACCAGTCGAATACGGCCATTATAGACAAATGAATGAGTAAGCAGAATGCCCATTTAATATCCATAGTAAAATCCACATTTTATTATGAATTTAAAATTATACAAGTTTTAAACAAATAAGAGATAAAGAAATTATCATATGGAACTAAAAGAAGATGATGGTCTTATTCTTGTGCTGTTGGATTTGGGTTTGCTATTAAGAATATTACAGAATGGCATGCTCGCCTATGGTTCTGAAGGTGGAACAAGTCTTCACAGTTCTATAAACTGTAGGCTCTGTTTACACGCAATTTGGCTCGTGTGCACTTTCGAGATGAGTAGGGAGTTACCCCGGTGTACTGGTCCATACAGCCCCTGTTGTGGAAAGATGGGAGAAGCTGGTACCGGTTACTGTGTCTTTATTGCTGAGCTATCGGGTAGCTTAGACACAAAGAGAACATTAGGGAAGAAGCAATAGTTACTGTAAGAGCTAGTCCACACCTCGAGTGCTTTGAGACCTTTCGGTATGAAGTGTTATATAAATCGAACTGCATTATCCTACATTATTTCACAAAAGAATGTCTAAGCTGAATCCATTATATCCATAGTAAAATCTACTTTTTATTATGAATTTAAAATTATACAAGTTAAAAGAAAAAAAAAAAGATTAAGAAATTATCATATGGAACTAAAAGAAGATAAAGGTCTTGTTCTTTTGCTGTAGGTTTAAGTTTGCTATTGAGAATAAATAAAACATTTTTCATAATGTTTAAAATAAGGAACCAAACATGGTAATCATTAATAGTGCATTTGCCACTGTATAGAGAAATAAGAACAATTTAAACACTGAGGCCAGTGGTGCCCAGGAGGAACAGTGGAGCCCAGATGTGTGTGGAGGTAGGAACTAAGCTCTTAGCTGACAAGCTAATGGCTGTCTTTGCTTGTCCATCGGGGATCCTCCCCAGCTGGCACCACCACTGGTGTAATGTCCATAAAACAACGACAACATAATGTACACTCTCATAAATAGCTAGAGCTTTGTGATCTGACATAAGATTTATCATGAGCCTTAGAGGGAGCTTTAATCATGAGCAGCAATACTGACATTTACAGGGATTAGAACCAAAGACCTTAAGATTTTAGAATGAGCCACCAAGCTACAGCTCCAGTAATACTACTGTGTACCATACATATACAGTTAATCCCATTCTAATCAGGTAAAATGGCATAACTGCTGCTGTGCTGTGCTATTGGTTAGCTACTATCATCATAAACAAACTCATTAAACTCAAAATATTCCCCAACCATCTTCAAATGCAGAACAAATCTTTGCACATGTGAGGGCGCCAGATAATGGGTAATTACTGATTGAGACATCTTCTTCGGTAAAGTCTGGTTCAACCTAAAAGGAAATATAATAAAAACAAATCGATAGAATCTTTATAGCTCTGTCTAGACTAGCAAAATTTTCAAAAAAAATGTTGTATGCCCATATATAGTAATGATGTGCCTATATATGGTCATGATGTGATATCATCATGACCATATATAGGCATGTCACATATTTTTGTCAAAAACAATTTGATAGTCTGGACAGGGCTTAATAGTGCTGTAGACACTGTTGTTACTGCTATTAACAAACTTCTCTGTGTAATTTTAGCTAGTAGCTAGAAGTCATGTTGCCAAACTATAAATTATTGTGCGTACAACTTATTCTTCTAGCATTATTCAGAATTATATCATACATGAATGTACAGTAAGGAAGTTTTCAACTCTGTCTGTCTGTCTGTCCGTCCGTCCGTCCGTTAGCAAGATTACACAAAAACTAATGAATGAATCATCATAAAATTTAGTGGAATGGTATATAATAATAATTAAAAAAAAAGACAACTTTCAATTTTCAGAAAAGGTTAAAAGACAAGGTCACCAAAATTTGATTATTTTCTCTTGGGCATAAAAGAAAATTTATTCATTGAGGGCATGCTGTTGTTTTTCCCATCATTCACTTCCTGCATATTGTTGGTACTGTATTCAAGTACTTTATAAAGTGACTGCTCTAATTATACATAATAATACTCCATAAAATAAAGATTACAAAATACATCATATATATATAATATGATATATATAAACAAATAAATAAATAATAAATTGAAGCAAGAGATTATACTTTACCTTTCCATGAGCCATTGCACCGATTACTAACACCACAGGACCATCCTCAGGAACTAATTCTTTTGGCTTTACTAATTTCTTTGCACTATAGGAGAGACTGATCTTCTTGCAGCCAACAGGTAAGTGATTGGAAACTGGGTTCTTAATTACTCTCAGAAGCTTCTGTGGCCCATCAGATGCACTAATGCTTAATTTGTGTAGTAATTGTACTGAAATCAAGAAAGTTTATACAAAGATGAATAGTATGCCGATTATTAGAGTATATCAGACAAGAAATTTTCTCACATCCAAATATCCAATCTTTAAGCCTCATGAAAAACTTAAGCCAATATTCACAATGGATTAATTTTGACCATGACGGAAGACAATTCTACCTTGGTCAAATCATATCACTAATTGCACTTGGATTTAAACACACAGTAGACTTTAAGGTGTTATGATATTGCACATGCATTGCAAGGTAAGTGAAAGGTCCGGTCGAAGCAAACTTTCTTTTTTATTTCTAAATCAAGAGTTTCCTCTTCTGTTAAGTTTAATCAATATTATATATCATTATTTACATTATGTGACACGTTGTTTCTGGGTTTATCCCATTTTCCTATTAATTTATCTAAATTTAGTATTTCTTCCGACAGATCCAATGTGTCTTTACTAAAGTACAGTTGAGGGCACATCTTCAGAACACTGATCGTTCCCGTGTGCATGAATTAGTTCTATTGGTAGTTACTCATTGGAACATGTTTAGAAAGATAAAAGTCTCTTTGTGTCTACTGGAGTCAACCTAACTCTGTTATACCATGGACTGATAATGATGATGTAATTTAGAATGACACTAACCAAAAAGACCGCAGAACCTATCAAATGTCCGTGGTATCCTAGTCTGCGGACTTATTTGAATGAGCACATTCCTATCTGTGTGCACAAATACCTGTAGTAACCCAGCTCTGTTTAAAGGACTGTCAAATAACATCAACAAGCACTGTAAAAGAAGGGAAAAATTGAACAATTAGAATTCAATGTCATAAACATATCTCTATATTCTTGCTGATGGTTGAAACAAACAGTATTTCATGATTGATTATTTGTTTTACATACACAATTTAATTTGTTTTGATATCTGACAGTCTGAACTTTTTACTATCCATTACTCAATTCTTTAGTTATTTATTTAAAATTAAGATAGTCTCACACGTTGCCTACGACAAGATGTGCTATGACACTCTCAGTCTAAAATCGTCTGGCCCACAGACGTTGGGGGCAAGGTGTGAGAGATATCATGTATACGACAAAACGCGGATAGTCCGATGGAAGTGTAGGAAATCGTAGAATTTTGAACAGAGAATAGCATCAACACAATACTATCCTAAAACAGATGAAATGGTTTAAACAAAATATATATATGTCGCAGTGAATTGCGGGATACCTGATGAGCAATATCTGGCCGGCAATCTGATGGATTCCTCTTGTATTTCTTCATGAGATGTTTATGATGATCACAATTTAGTAATTCAAACCCTTTAGTTGTCTGAAAATATGATATATAACACAATAAATAACATTTATTAAAAACGAATGAACAGGGAATATCACATAACTTTTGATGTATTCCCGACAAAATTATTTTTACTGTGTGGCACACATACAGGCTAGTGGCATATATTCATCCACTGGATATTTGGCCGGTAGAACGTCTATTAATTTGCACAGCGTTCCCAGATATTTATAGTAAGGGCGCACTCTAACCCTAGCAATAGGCCTGGCTGATTTTTATGCCCAGGCCTATTTACATTTTGTTAATAAAATCATACAATGATTTTGTCTCATCAACTCAATCGTTCATTTTCAAGTAGCCTGAAAGTAGGACTAGCAGTAAGTACTATTACTACCTGAGAAGGTAGGCCTACATCTATATACAGCAAGGCTACTTAGGAGTCTAGGCTCTCGTCTGGACGACCAAGGTAGGCTAGGCTTAGGCCTAAGTTAAGTGTAGCGAGGCCAGAAACGGAGGAGAGAGACTCGAGAGAGCAACCCATCAAACATCATGGCTAGTTATATATATTAGGTTAAGCCAGGCCTTGTTTGTACAGGTACACACCTTAACTGTTTCAAGTGATGCTTTTTCAAGTACGATAATCAAACGTTTGTCTAAATTCTTTTCATGAAGTGTTTTTATGATCTTGGGACGTTTCTTCTCAGGTTCATCGTTGTCATCCACGTGGGCAGCCATGTTTACAAACGTTGTGCCTATAGGCACGGTAACGGTAACCGTGTGAGTTTCTATCGGCACGGCAGCCCCCGCGGGTGTCTTTTTATTTTAAGTTTTTCAAAATTCCCATCTTGAAAACGGACAGGTAAATTTTTCTCATTCGTATTACAGTGAGGTGTCTTTTAATGACTTTTAAGTCCTTCAAATTTTCAAGGTTTTTCCCTATAATTGAAAACGATTCCATGAAATCGATGAACCCCGCAAAGGTGTCCGAGTTACCCCCGAGAAAATCTCGATTTCTAGATGGCGGGAAATGAGCTTACTTTTGGAGTGTCTTATGGCTTTTGTAAGTTCTTCGAAATTCAAGGTTTTCCCCATTGAAAACGGTCAGGTAAATTTTTCTCATTCTTATTTCATAGGCCTATTATGCGGGTATACTTTGCATATTACAAACCTTTTTCCAGAATCAATGAACCCCATAAATTAAAGGGGTTGGGGTCCTCCCCAGAGAAAAGGTTGATTCCAGATGGCGGGAAAGAGCTTTCCCGACTTCTAATTTTGTATTCAATGTCTTTATTCTTTATTCAGATGAAAATATAAATTAAAAATTAAAAACTGAGACAGCCAAAAGACTGTATATGAATGTATTACAATAATTGCTTACAAATTTAAAAACAGAACAGCAAAATTCAACAAATTTACAACACAAACATCATAAAAAAGAAACAATGGATGAAAAGCACAGCACCAGACATAAAACCAAAAAATGGAAGAAATAAAGAATGCATATAAAAACACATTAATTAAAAAATTGAATTGAATTTTCTTATTGTATCAAGGTTCACCAAACGCTACAATATTAATGAAATAATTCAATCATTCATTTTTTTCATTATTCTTTATTCATATCAAAATTGCAGCCAAGGCTGAATTACATGATATATACAAAATAAAATATCTTTACGGAATTCACGATATATTAAATACAAATTAAATTTATTCAATTTAGTCACAATCAAATATTTTATTGTCAATTTTTAAAATGTAAACGAATGATCCACACATTCACAATTTACGTATATTATATAATTTATTCCAAAAGTAGAAGTACTGTATTCTTACTCACAATGCATTTATCGCTCGATTGGCGCGCCATATACTAAGATCTCAGTAAGACCGCCTAGGCCATCCACATTTCACACATTGACGTGACTTGCGATTTTAAATAAGACATGTTGCATTATTGATATTAATTTAGCTTAAATTATTACTTTATATTATATTTATGATAATTAATTTAATAGTATTAGATTAAATCTAATTTAACTCACAGTACACAAGTATTATTCAATTATTTTTAGTAGCATAGGTGGTAATTTGAAACTTGGATACGAGACGCTTGATGATAGAGGGATCGGAGGAAATTTATGTTTTGTGCTTAATTATCCTTGTTATATATAGTTCATTTGTCCTAAACTCCTAGTTAGGCCTGCAGTGCTATTAATAATTCCCTAAATAAAAAGAAAGAAGTAAGTGCGGGTTAGGCCTAGGCCTACCACCTACTAATACTAGGCTGGGCCTGGCCCAGTAGGCTACGACGGGCCTACTCTACTACACTAGGGCCCTAGGGGTAGGACGTTACCGCTACCCAACAGACCTGGCCTAGCCACCCTATACTGGGCCTAGCCTGTTGTGTGTGTGTGTGGGGGGGGGGGGGACCTAGGTGTGTAGTCATTGATTCATAGTGTATTGATCACAAGACAGAAAAACATGTTCCCCATCCAAAGATAGCTGGGCCTGGCCCAGCTATCTTTGGCCCTCACTATGTTTTTATTTGCGCAGGATATATATCAAAAAATAACTTAAGTTTGCGCAGAGAATTGATAAAGAGATAGGTGTGCAGAATCTTAGTACAGTATTTGTATGTTTAAGACAGTCGTAGGCAAAGGCATGCATTTCTGAATGTTTTGGTACCTGGTTCAATAGACCTTTCCGGAGTGTCAATCAAACTTCACAACTGACTAATCAGAACAACGCTAGGAATACGCGCGCGTCTTACAAACACACGTGTTGTCCCACAAACGCACGTGTTCGCGTATGTTTTAACACTGCTGTCTTGTGGGGCCTTAGCAACAAAATCTAAGGGGCGGAGCTTAGCGGAAAGGTCCATTCTGTCCATTGACTCCTTGTTTTCACCAAGAGAGGACTGAAATTTAAGTATAGAAAAAAGAAAACATGGTCTTTTGGAATAGACATTGGTCATGTGTGCAATATGGTTCATGTGTGCGTTTAAAGAATGCTTGATAGTCCCTACACTCTTCTGAAAATAATAGGGGATTTCCTCCTGGTGAACTGCCTAATCGCCAACAGAAATACCCAAGGAAAAAAGTTTTTACACTTTTGTGGGTTATCCTTGATGTTCTTACTGCATAAATCCAATCGAATCTAGATGATTTACTCACATTATTTAAATTCCTTCTAACTGCATTGTAATTCTGTCTTATAGAAACTTCTTGGATGAAAATGGTTTTACATGATGTTTTTGACGTAATAATTGAATGATATTGGATGCCCACGAGTAATGGACAACAAGGCAAGACAAGACTCGGCCCCTACACGCCCCCCTGGCCCAACAAGAAGACCGTCATTGTTTACTAGTGATGGCAAAAATACATCAAATAGGAAAAAAAAAACACAGGGATTGGTAAGCATGAAACAATGTTAAATAGCATGCTAAGGCTTTTGTCCAGTAGTGACAGTCATAACATGACTGAAAATGATGATGAGGAGGATGATGAAAATGCTTCCCCAAACTGCAATTGAGTTAAAATGTCAACAAAATTTTGAATAGATTGATTTGATTTATTTAATTTGGAAAAAAAACAACAGTATACAAAGACAAATAATGAACATAAAAATATACAAATGCCAAGGATTTTTCAAAAGCGAACTGAATCACTGTTGAAGAACTTCTTTAAATATAAAAATAGGCCTAAATATATATATAAATATAAATAATTTAAAAGCAATAAATTAACAAAAATAATCAAAGGATATTGGTAACCAAACATTTATTCATTTGGCAGACATGCTTTAAGCTTTGTTCAAACTACCAAATTTTATGTGACAAGTAAATGTGGTCATATGTGGGTTTAATGTGACATGCCCATATATGGGGACATCATGCCCATATATGGAGACATTATGCCCATATATGGGTACATCACACAAATTGTCTCATAAAATGTGATAGGGTGGACTGAGCTTTACTGAGTTATTTTACTGGAAAGATTACTAATATTTTTCCACTGTGGAGTAAATATAGGTTTACAGAATGCAGTGGCGGATCCAGGAATTTGAAATAGAGGGAGCCCAGGGAGGGTCTATACTACCTCAGGCCTACCATGGATTGGGCTGAGGTAAGCGAAATTATGATTATGGAACCTCTCTAGATGGCCGGAAATGGCACTCTTAGACTCAAAATTTGAGTAGAATTTTATTTTTTTCTCAATTTTGAAAGATTTATGGGTGGCCCGGGCCAGCTGCCACCTCCCCCCTTGAATCTGTCACTGGAAAAACACCTTCAATTAGGTCTATGTCTGTCGTCAGCCCAAAAAATACTAAGGGGCATTTTCCATATTTTGTCTACTAAAATACTAAAATCTATCAAAATATGGTACTCAATTTATTGTATAAGTTATGAATAAACTCATTTGGCACCATACATAAGAAGATGGCATGCTCTTTGTGGAAGTCACAGTTGAGTAACTCGGCACCACCTGACCCAGAGAGCGAGAGAGGGGGTGGGGGAGAGAGAGGGGTAGGAGGAGAGAGTGCAATCCAATCCTTAATGAAGTATACATTTTATTTTAACTTAGGCACGTTACAAGCCATTGTCTTCTCTCGTGAATTCGGGATCAATTAGAACAAGGCCTTCAACTGTAGCTAGTAGTGGTAGAAGGGAACTACCCCCAGAAAATAATGAACCAACCCTCGGTACTATCGATGAAAATGAAGCAGACATTATGTCATTGATGACAGAGGTAACTTTTTGATCAAAATTCTCAATATCAGTAATTTTGCATATGATGATAAATCATGATATATATATATATATCTGCCAGGCAAAATATCAAGTTTAATGTGTCATTGAAGATGATTATTATAATACAGTAATGATTTGATGACCCAATGGCATTTTTTTGTGTAGAGATATAATAATACAAATGATATTTGCCCTACCTTACATGTTATCGTACTGAATGCTCAGTACTTTCCCAAATGCCTGCAAAAAAATCTCGCAAGCGATTTGGATGGGAATTGAACCCACGACCTTCCGATATTTAGCCTGATGTATTTACCACTAGACCACCGAGTTTGCGCTTGGTGGCGTCTGATGAATCTGATTTCCAACATCAAACATCATTTTGTATCATTAATTTATATCATTATTCAACACCCCCTAGCTTGCTGGTAATCTGCAAGTACCAAGATATAAATTTGAGGCCCCTCAAGACCCTGAAGCAGCTCGCATAATGCGAATTATCACCGAGTACTTAGAGGAAACACAAGTTGAAATCAAAATGTTAGGCATATGTCAGAGTTTGCTTGCAAAGCCTCACCTTCCATACAACCCTTATCCTGAGATGATATTAACTCTACGTTGTTTTGCGGAAAGGTAAGCTAAGATCAACTTTCATTGTTCAGATTTGGCCAACCAAAATTTTTGAATTTTCCAAGTACAATGCCAATTGGAAATTGGGGTCAGTTGGTTGCCATTTATTTTTCACTATCACTCGCCTATGTTTTGGTGGTGAAATGGTATTTACTGGGTTAAAATCCATTGTTAAGATAAATATAAATAAATTAAAAATTGAAAAGAGAGCATTATTCCAACCTGTAATTGACTAGTTACTTGTTGTTGGTTGTGAAGGAAACTTTGTTTTAAAATCTAAATAAAGAAATTACTGTCTACAGTGTGCAGCAGCTTCTTTGCCGCGTAGTTGCATTAATTTACTGTGGATCACTATAAGAAATATAATAGATTCTCTTGTTTTC